ATAAACGAAAAAAAGTTTACTGCGGCGGAAGAGGAGACCAACAATGGTATATGTACCAAGTGTGTTTATACGTTTTTAAGGCTTTTGAATTGCTTYCAAAATGTGAGAATTTTGAAAAAATTTAAATATAAAATGAGAAAATTTTTTAAATTTCCCGCGTAGTACGCCACGTGGTAGATTCTCATTGTTGTAATCTAATATTATCCAGGGTTTTTATGCCGCAACGCTTTTCCCTGACGATCCAATAAAGCATTGCATCTTTGTTTGGCTCAATCACGTGTTTTATTTGACACCCTAACCTAACCCTTTATTCTTCACTTTATAGCATATACAAAATTGCCAGAAGACTCTTAGTTGAGGAATTTCGGCCATAACAAATAGCGTTGTGAAATAAATGAAAACAAAAGAGAAATTGCAAAAAAAATGGGTCTTCGTATTTAAATGTTCGTCGATTATCGAGGGCAAGTGCTCTACCGTTTGAGCTATTTTACTACCCAGTCAACCACTTAATTAACTTAGTGATTTTTTCCGGTACAGAGCATCAAGGAAACTTTCCCTTTGCTACTTAAAAACAAAAATGGGAAAGAAATCATTTCAGAAAACTCGGAGGACTAAAGTGTAGTATACGGGGATTCGAACCCCGGTCTCTTGCCTTCCGACCGAACACGCTACCACCTGAGCTACGAAGACCTCTACTTAAAATTTCCTATAAATGAGTATATAAGCAATAATATTTCTAAATATTACTTTTAAGATATAAGTATATAATATATAATAAATAATACTTTTAAGATATACTTTTAAGAAAATAATAAAATGAACGTAAAATTAGCCATACAAACACTTAGCGAAAGTGTGTCAAAAGCTTTAAAGTTTTTACAAATAATTGATGATCCAGAAATCCAAAAGGACTTCGAAGGTAGTTCTGAAACAGCTTTATTTTGCTTAAATTTTAACAATATTGGTGATATGTTAAATTGTAAAAATAAATTTTCTATGGGTGAATTCAATACCCCTTTGAATGATGAAACTTATCTGAAAATGAAAGACCATGCTTTAAAATTTGAAAATTATATTATTAATTTATGTAATTAATTATGTAATTAAACTATAGATCAATATTCATTGCGAGCATCGATACTAGCGACTATCGAAACGTTCTTCCAGTTACCCCCACCTCTCGCATCGCCACTTCTCATAGCCCTA